TTTTCTCTTCAGTTGTTTTCTGCTGTCTGAATCCCCTCCTTTCTGGGGTAGTATCTGCCATCACACAAAAACTGATTTGTCTCTGGATCAGCAGATAAAACTGGACCTTTTTCTATTGTCCTTAGCTTATCTTACAATTTTCCTTTTTCCCCTGCCTCGCTCCTCATAGCCTCCTGCTCCTGAGTCTGTTTCCCCACATTGCTCAGCCCCTCACATCAACACTGCCACTTCTTCATTCCTCCTCACAGGTCTCTCATGGATCTGCCTTAAGCTGCCTCTCACCCACCTTCCTCATGACCCCAAAAGTGCCCAGCCTGCAATGGGATTGCTGTGCCCTGCCAGGGAAATTGTTACAGCTCTCCACAGTCCCTTTGCATCCCACATGGCTTGGGTTCACTGAAGGGCTACATTTTGTCCCTCTGATATGACATGTTACTGTCCTTAACACTGTCTGCCACCAGGACACAGACACTGTCCTGAGGCTCTGGTAATAGGATTTCAGGAAATGCTTTCCCTTCATCTGTCAAAAAAATAATTCATCAAATAACAGTGTGGATAATCCAAACCCCCTCCAATTACAAATCTGAATTTGGCATATAATGAAGAAAGCACTTAATCAGTTGAGTCACTGTATATAAAGACATATTGTAGAAGATGCTTCACAATGCTCACCACTATTATCCCTAATTATGTAATTTGACTGGTTAAATTTGACTGCACTACTGAAAAAATAGAAGCATTTTAAATGCAAAAAGCAAAACCTTTGTAGCTTGACGTTCTTGCAATTCAAATAAAATGGATTGTGTTGAATTGCTGGTTCCCAGAGAATGCTGCAGCATATCTGTAGTTCTCCTCACAGCTTTCTCCCAGTTAGCTGACCACAACTTCCCAGTGAGCAAAGAAAAGGCTGCCACTCCCATGTTTCACTGCAAGTCAGACACATCCTGTGCTCTACCACTGGGTCCAGTCCAAAGCTTTCCCTGTCAGCCAACTTCAGAGTGAGCTTCTGAGGATTACACTATCCTGTCCCTTTGCATCACACATTTCACACAACATGGAAATGTTTGGCTTGACAAAACCTACAGGTCTCATTCTCCACTCTTAATAATTCCATGGTCTTCACCAAAGATGCTCTGTGTGAGCAAGTGAGAAGGGACATGAACAGGCAAGAAGCAGGGAGAACACATCAAAACTCAGTGGTCTCAGGCTGTGGGATGCTGCACCACAGACTGCACCAAAGGCAAGGTGGGTTCAGGAGCACCTCCAGAACAGTGTGGGATTTGTGTCTGGCAGAAGCACAGGGCTCAGCTGGTCTGCCAGAGGTAGAGAGATAGTTATCTTAGATACTTATCTGTAATTAAGTACCTATTATTAGTAAATATTTAGAATAGAGACTCAACAAAGGTAAGGCCTTGTCAAGCCTCTAAAGGGAAAAATTATTCCTCGGGTCTTAGCTTTATTTTTCAGGTTCTGTGCTGCTTTAGTGTGTAACTCTGAGCTTCATTTAGGGGATGGTGAGCTCTATTCACAGAGTAGGGGGACAAAACAATTCCTTTTCTCACTGGGGACCAAGGACAAATGATCCAAATTTCAGGCCCAAGAGCATAAACAATGGTGGGTTGAAGAGAGAAAAACAAGAAGGATGGGACTTCATAAGTTAAAGTTATAACTGGACAATTAACTCCAATATGCAAATGGACCAAAACTTACAAAAGGGAGAGACCCCGTGACCAGTTGTCCATTTTTTGACCATTTTGGTCCATCTTGGGTGTAACCCTGGCTGGGCTCTTGTGCTGCCCAAGGTGCATCCACTGAGGCCTCCTAATAAATACTTACTTCATTCTTTAACTCTGTCTAGCCTCTGCTCTAGGACAGCCTTGACAAGGCATCAGCCCAAGTACATACACAAATTTACTTCCACAAAATGCATACAAAAAGAAATAGGTGCTTTACCACCCACACTTACATCACACCTCTAATAGCTTCCTGTGGGCTATGCCAAAAACCCAGGGCTTTTCTCCTGCACGTATCTGCCTTTGACTTGGGTGCCTGCTGGATCAGAGGCCCTGAGGCTGCCCTGCCCTCAGCTCTGTGCGCTCTGCCACGTTCCTATCAATCCCGCTGAAAGGAGGGCATTGATGCGGCTCCATCATGCAGCCATTACCAGCACAATGCTGAGACAGATCAATCAAAGGCAATACAGCAGCCAGATCCAGAGGATTCCAAACACTGAGGTCAGATTCAGTAACTCTTAGACACTGAGAGAGACATATATACACAAAGGCAAATTTAAATGTGCAAATCAAAAAATGTCACTTGTAGTGTTGGATTGGATGTGTTTCAGGAAGAGCTGTCACTTCCTCCCCCACTGCCATCCCTTGCCTCTGCATCACTGAGTGCATAAGGTGTCTTTGTCCTGGTGGCCTTATCCTAACTTTTCCCTTAACACACAGCCCTCTGATTTTACAGCACAAGCCCTGTGAATGGGTGTCTTGCTGCTTTTCTGTGCCTTGAAGGATCAATTGCCCTGCTACAGAACATCTCTCCCTTGGAGAGAGCCATTTTACGGCTAAATCCCAGCTCCTGGGTCAGCCAGATGCAGCAGCCCTTCCTTAGGAGAAACACCTCAAAATTCAAAATGCACCAGGGACTGGGGTGATGGACAATCCCTGTTTGAACTAGTGCTCTGCTGTGCATAAGGTTGTGGCAGTTGCTGGGGATTTACAGAATCCAACATGAAGACTGAGAAGCCAAAGATTTTCCTAGGTTACAGTGCTGGGCTTGTACCAGAAAAAAAAATCCCTGTACATCTACTGAAATCCACAGCTTGGTTAATTATCTCCATCGACTGTGGCTTCCTGTGCTCTTTCTCCCCAGATGTTTGGAGTCAGTAAGCTACTACAAATGATTAAATGATTCACATTATTGATAATTATGTGTATCAGAGTGGCATTTAAAAACCTCACCTGATGCAATACCCCGCTGAAGCTACAATTTGCAAAGAGACAAACACAGCAAAGATGACTGAATATTGTTGTGAATAGCAATCCTAATTTCAAGATCAAATTCTGAATTGAACATCAAAAATCTACAAGTCCTGTCCCACATTACATTTAGCACAACCAGCTATTAAATACCAGTTTGAAGGGGCAAAACACACTCTGGTCCCTTTCTACCACTACAGTAAGTTGCTAACTGGTTTCTCCTTCAAAAAGAGAAAAAAATATTGAAAGAAATGTATCTTAAATATTCTACAAAGATTTACATTGCCCTGATTAAATGTGGGCTTAGCCAGTGCCTGAGTGTGCAGTGCACAAGTTTCCAGAGAGCCCGGCAAGCAGCTCTAGGGACTTTTCCCATGCTCAAGGACACAGATGTCAAGAGATAAGCTATATTAAGACTCCCAAACAAAAGCTGTATATATTGACAGTAAGTCTCCACACCAGAGATCTCAGAGTCTGAGCAGACAGTGAGAAAACTGCAGGGAAGGAGGAAATGAGGCCACAAAGTGGTGACTGAAGCAAACTTCACCTGGATGAAGAGTAATCGTGTTCCCTTAGCAAATGTGTGTCCCCAGCACTAGTGTACGCCCTAGAACATGCTTTCTCATTTTGTCTTGTTCTGCTTTTAACCACTTGCCTCAAAAAGCAACATGAAAAGGCATTACTGTAATGCCTGCTGATGCCAGCAGTGGTTTTCTTCCTCCTGTCACCCATTAGCTGCAAACTCAAATGTCTGGATCTCTCTGTGACCAGCACTCAAAACCTGAGCTTCAGAGAGCCTGAGAAAAGCATTTTCCTCCTCCCTTTCTAAGGATAGGAAATTCTTCTTCATCCTGTAATCCCCCCTTTTGCAAATGTATGGGGGGACTTGTCCAACATGGGGTGGTGACAAATCTGTGGCAAAGATGAGACACACACTCAGTTTCTATTTGCTGGCTAAACACAGAATAAAGCTGGGTTAGAGCAAAGAGACAAGACCTCATTATCATCTCCCCAATCATCAACACTGTGTTCACCTGAATGCTCACACATCATTTCTTTTACCTTGGCCAACATTTGAAAGCCAATCTGCAAGAAGAGACTTAAAATATAAACACATTTACTTTTAGCAGATATCTCCATTTCCAGCACAATTGCTTATGAAATTACTGTATGGTCCAGGAGCCTTAAAATTCTCCAGCCTCTGAGAAATTACAGATAGCATCTCCAAATGCTGTCAACAGCCAAAAAAACATTGCTAGAAAGATCTCTTTAGCATGCATGAATGGATGCATCAAGGGCAGTTGTGTCTATACAAGAGAAACTCTTCTTGCACTGTGCTTTTGGGGTTTTGGAGTGGGAACTCTGCACAAAGATAATTAGCATTTACTTCTAAAACAGGAAACTTGCTTTGCATATTTCATTTTGACACAGTCACACTCTTCTTTTTTTTTCCCCTGCAAACAACAAGCTGAATTCTAAAAACCTTACATAGTTTACAAATAGACTAAGTCCCAGTGAAATATGGCTGGGCAAGGATGAATAAATGCTGATAGTGAATTGTGGTGTTCCCAGCCAGAATGAGCAATGCATTATTTTGCAAACAGTACATGGTTTCAAGAAGGTCTTGCTACTTGTGAGAAATAACAGGAGAATCCATCCTTCCTGCACACACAATGCATGAGCCATCCATGCATAACATTTGGGCAGTTTCCTACTCCCTGGTAGCCCAGAGGACCTGAGCAGCTGCTCTGCACCAGTCTGTTGCCACATCCCTTGATGGGTGACCCTGTCTCATTTACAAAGAAAGCCTTTCCTGAAGCCTTCTCAGAGCCCTGCCCAGAATCCTGAGTACGTATCTGGGCCAAGATGCAGTCCTTGCAGTGAAGAGCAAGTGCCCTCCCAAAGCGCATACAGCTCCCCCATGGCTTGCTTGACTCCACCTGACATTTCCTCTTGGAGAAAGCCCCAAGGTGTGCAGAGCCCTGTGCTCTGCAGCAGGGCATGGAGGTGCATTACCTGCAGTCTCCCTGCTCCCTGATGACAGCTCTCCATTGATGCCATTCTCTTTGGTCTGAGCATACGTCCCTGGCTGCTCGTGGCTGCCCAGCCTCAGCTCCTCCTCCTCTCGGTACGGAAATCCATTGGCACTTCTGACCAGTCCAGCGCTCGCGCCTCCCTGATCCTTCATCTCAGGGGAATGTGGGTGTGAAGAGGCCTCTGTTAGCTGACTTGAAGTCCAGTGTGGTGCCTTGGCTTCGTCTTTCCTATCCTCAGCCATGGCTCCTCGCCTTCAGCGCGTGGCCTGTAACGACATGAGCGGGAGAGATCAGCTCCAGGTGGGTCACTGTGTCCCTCACTGTGTACCTCACTGCCAACACAAGCAATCACCAGCAGCGCTGCTGGTAAATCCAAGTCCAGCAGAGGAAAGAATTATCTCTGTGTGTTTGTCCTAGCCGTGAGTGAACTGATTTTAAGCCAAAAGAAACCACCAGCAGTAAAAATTATGGGTCAAGTCCTCCCTGACTCTCACATGCCTTGCAATTATTAGCACCATTTTCTTGATGGCTGCCCATTCATTAATCTGATTTTAACGCATTAATTACAGTTAAAATATCGACCCAATTAACAAGAAGTGAATCTGTCATCTCAGCGCCACGACCCATTTCCAGGGCAATGAAGGAAGAATGCCACAACTGCTACAAGTGAAGCTGCTGCTGAAGTGAAGGTGCTTGTCAGGCACAGCAGCACAAGGTGACATGGCCTCTCCAGCACATTCAATCTGCTGCTTGTTATGACAGAAGCCAAGTCTGGGAATGTGCACTGGGTTACTGAAGATCCATGCTGTTTGACCCCAGTTAAATCCCCTCCTACTTGCTGTCATTCACACACACTTGTCCAACCCTTTTGTCCAAAACACTCCATTGGGAACAGTTTGTTTCCCACACAAGTATTTACACTCTCTTTTGACTATCGGTATTTGCACAGAAATAAAACTAATCATTATTTGCTATTTCACACATATTTCAATCCTGTTAGTTAAATCTCATTAGTCCAAGCCAAGGAGAAGCTACTGCATAAGCCACAGCACTTGGCTATTCCTCACAGATAAATGCAGCAGGAGCTCCTCAATATGTAAACCTAGGAAGGCAAGAATTCATAATCATGTTTTGATGATACAGTAGCCTCTGGAGAGGAGAAGGCGACCTGCCCTGAGTTTGCTACTTCAAAGTGGAAACCAGCAGGCCTTTTCCAAAAGCACTTGCCACCTCCTTTTTTCCCTGGGAGAAAATAACATAAAAGCAGCGAGCTGAATGCAGTCAACCAGCCACATTTCACAGAGGCTGAGCAGTCTAGAAAAGGCAGCACAAACTAGAGAGTGCGTCTATTCTGCAGATATTTAACAAAAACAAACCAGAAAAAGAAACTAGTTTCCATCAAGTCAGGTCAGTTTCAAGAAAACCTCTAAACACGAGAAAAGGCTATTTGCCAGACAATCATTCATAATTGATAATTTGACCTCTTTCTGATCAGACATCATCATTTATTAATAACAGCTTTCAGAGCTGCTGCAGATTTTTTCTAAACCACGATGAACTACAAAATTAGATTTCATTCACAGTATGTGACTCAAACTGGCATTCCATATCAAAAAGGACTAATAACTCTTGTGTCTCATGGTGAAATCATGTTGTTTTACAAAGTGCTCTGCCCGCTCTCACCCTGAGCCAGCATCATTCCCTGGAGGTAACTGTGACAGTGTTCACAGGGGTTCCAGGATGAGGGAAGAGACGAGGATCTGACTCCATGTTTCAGAAGGCTGATTTATTATTTTATGATATATATTATACTAAAACTATACTAAAAGAATAGAAGAAAGGAGTTCATCAGAAGGCTAGCTAAGAATATAAAAAGAAAGAATGATAACAAAACCTTGTGTCTCGGACAGAGTCCAAGCCAGCTGTGGTTGGCCATTAATTAGAAACAACTCTATGAGACCAATCACAGATGCACCTGTTGCATTCCACAGCAGCAGATAATCATTGTTTACATTTTGTTCCTGAGCCCTCTCAGCTTCTCGGGAGAAAAAATCCTAAGGAGAGGATTTTTCAGAAAATATCATGGCTACAGGTAACTAACTGCATACAGACTGAAGGAGCTGGTGAAACTTGCAGTGAGCAAGTTTTGCAGCCCAGGTTTTCCTTGGAGCTGTACTGAAAATGATGGGATGAGCAGTATCACAAAGAGAGGAGCCAAGCCTCAGTCAACCACAGGTAAGAGAAAAGTAAACATTCACCACATCCCTTTGCTTTCCCCACCTCTGTTACCCTAATGGGAAACTCAACAGGGAGACTTTCTGCCCATACAGATAGAGTTTTAAAGCAGCCATATCACATCATACCAGCCCAAGATGTGAAAAAACCCCCTCTTACAAACAAAAAAAATATATACCTCTGCCTCTAGATCTGTTTACTGCATGATTCTAGAGAACATTTTCTGATCAGAGCCTTTCCAAAACATAAGGCCATGGGACAAATATCTCCCAATGAGCAGCAATGAGCAGCACACACTCAAAGCCACCAACATTTGGGATATGAGGGCAGAACAAATTCTGTTCTGCAGGACAAAAAAGGAGGCGATTCTCATTTACGTCCCTTGGGAAAGCTCAGGAAAAAAAACTACAAAAAACCCAGAAAAAACAACCAAAGAAAAAGCCCAAGCCCTAACTCAAGATTTCCTCACCAACCCAGTGCGCTCTGAAGCTGAGAGCAAGACCCAGGAGCAGGATGAACCTGCCCACCAGCTTCACCAGTTCAGCCCCTGGTCAGCCATGAGAGGAGCCCAGAGGCACAGCAGGACAGGGAGGGTTATGAAAGAGCCAAGTGTAAGGAATGTGGCTCTGAAAATCACTGGGACAAATGTAATGGTTCTATTCCAGCACCACAGTTTGGTAGCTATTATTCATGAAGTATCCTTCCTGGTTCCAGGCAGACACTCCCTGCCTCACTTGAAGCTCTTGAGGAAGGATATTCACATCCCCACAATGGGCTGTGTCACACAAGTCCCCAGTGAAAATAACAAAAGTGCTTTTATCTTTAAAAATAAATACAGTGGGCAGACTTCAATGCGAGCTGCGTGTATCTGGAGGCAGAATTTGGCTCAGTATTTATAAAAGATGGTTACAGAGTAAAGCATGGATGAATTCATTCTTGCCTCTCTGTTATTCATCAAGTGCTCTCAGGGTTTATAATGGTAGGAGAGAAACAGGGAGTGAGTCACACAATGCATCTTTGTACTCAGCAATTTAGCAATGACTATCTGCTGTGTGCTCTGATTCATCCACAGCTTGGGTTAAAATCCAGAATACACAGGTGTGCTTTGCACCATCAAGTGAGCTGTTTTTCTTTCATTTCATTAGCATACAATGGAATTAAATTAATCAGGTAATGTAAATATTGACAGAAATACTGAAGTGGCCAGACAATACAGCAGAATTTAAATAGTGATAGCTATGTAACAAGAAAAAAACCTGGAATAATTTGGACAACCTAGGGAAACACTGTACTTCAGGGAAGTAAACAGTCCTTTTTACCATGAGTTTCTTATTCTTTGCATAAACTGTAATGAAGGCTTTCAAAAAGACAGATAAGAAGGCACAGCCAGTCCTCTAAAATGTCATGCTGCTTTAGTTCAAATTGATTTGGATCTTTATGAGCCTGTCTTTGCTAACCAGTACAACAGAACTGCTTTATCAGGGAAGACACAGCAGCAATCTTCCAGCAAGCTCTCACTCCTTGTGGAGGTTAGTGGTAGGGAGGGGGTGACCAAGGAGGTGCTTGACCACAGCAGAAAGGGCAGTGGAGCTCACAGCCAAACTAGCAGCACAGCCCCTTACTCCAGAGCCATTACACAGAGCACAGGTAACACTGCTCCCCCAGGCTGTTCCTCACCCTGAAGTCTGACCAAGGCCACCCATGCAAATCCCAGTGTAGGACTGGGGTGCCCTCCTTCCAGAGGGATCAAGTAGGTGCTGTTGAGCCCCACAGATCACAGCAGTGATGCTGACCCACACCCATGGGCCATGCACAGCCCTCCCAAAAAGGTTTTCCTTGCCCAGAGTGACATGGAGGGCACTACTGAGCCATTGCTTGTCCAAAGAGATCGTGCTCCACTGGCAGCAGCAGGGAAGAGATCCTTGGCAGACCTTAAGTTTATGTAGTTAACTCAGGCAGTGCAATGAGGGAACGGCAGCATGGATCTGAACTGGACATCTTATCTTCTGAACTAATAACCTGGAGGAGAAACTATAATAAAAATGAACCCTCCCAGCTTTTTCAGCCATGGGGGAACAGTACAGAGACAGAAAATACTTGAACACAGAGGGACAAATCTCGTGGGGGATATGTGGTCTGACTCTGCAGTTGCCTCCTCCTTTTGCAGGCACTCTACACATATTTATGAATCCATATGCTCTTTCATGTGACACCAGCTCCTGCTGCCATGGCTGGGTTGAACCAAGCCTGAATGATTTGAACTCTATGCAGAGCAAATCAGCCACAGTAATACAGCATGAGGCCATGATATGCAAAACCCAAGATAATGCTGATTTAAATTTCCTGTCATGCTAGCTGTCCAGAATCATCTTAGTGTTATATTAACACTGCCTTTGCATAGAAACTGATTAATTTTCTGTAAATTTCTTACTTGTTAAGACAACTGAATTAGGCCAATACTGAAGACTTTTTCAAGTAGATTGCCTTCCTGCTTCGAGCCATGTTTTTATCTGCTCTTGTATCTATGAGTGAAATAAGGATATTTAATTTCAGGGAAACGAGGATATTTAATTTCAGGGAAGCCGATTCAACAACTAAAACAAACAGCTACCTGGGTACATAGAAGAACAGCTACAATTCTAGTTCAGGCAAAAATTAGCACTGGAGGTTGCTGAAAGGAAAGACAATACACTCTTTAAAAAAAACAGAAAACCAAACCCTGATAGGAGTATGGCCAGATCCTGAGCACAGTGGGAAGAAGAGGGGATGTGCTCTGTGTATGGCTCCAGGACCAAATCCTGGTTCTCACAGGGCAGTTTAACTCAGATTCACCAAAGCAGAATCATCTGCCCTGAGTTGTAGCTGCTTCCAAGTCCAGAGCCAGAACAGGGAAGGGATTCTCCCTAATCTTGAGTGCACAGATATGACCAAAGACCTCAGGTATCCAGGGCTTCCAAAACTCCTCAACTAGACTGCCTACAAGAGATTTTTTAAAGAAATTTAAGAAATTCAGAGAATTTCTTTCAGAGGA